CCGCCACCTGGACTTAACCCCATTCACCATGACGCTCTGGGCTCGGCCATCCAGCCAGTTTTTTATCCAGCAAAGGGTGTTCCTGTCTAAGCCATAAGTCGCTAGCTTTTCTAGGAGAATGCTGTGGGACACGGTGTCGAAGGCCTTGCTAAAGTCCAAGTAGATGACGGCAGATCAGCCGCCCCGTAGGAGGTAAACCTCCTGCTGCTGCCCCTGCCTCGTTGAAGGACAAGGATCTAGTGCCACAACCACCACTAAAGGTTGAGAGTTACCAGGAAGCTCTTTCCACATTGCAAATGTGAAAGCACCAAGATATAGTATGTTTGCTATTTACTTGTAATTTTCAAGACAAGGCATTGGCCCATAGCACCATTCATAAAATGGTGCTTGAGTCCTGCAGACTTATGTAGCTACGGCAGGACTTTGAGAGCTTTCAGAAGAAACATATTTATCAAGTCAGCTTGCCAGTTTGTCTTTCCACTTTTTTAAGAGCATGTTCTTTTCACAACCTGTGATCTCCCTTCCAAACTATTTTAATTCTTCAGGAGGATACTCTTTACCTTTCATAGAGGGCAAACATGAAAATTCCTTTTCTCTCACTATGAGTATGTATATATCAGAAATGTTTAAATGTCATAAAACAAAGGATATTTTCAACCTTCAAATATTGAAATTAATTGTTGTGAAATTACTCCAGTTTAAAGTAATTAAAGAAACCCAAAATGATGAGTGCTAGCAGTAAGTGACTGATAATTCATGACCATTAGCAAGAGCAGAAGTGGAAACTGTGAAATGTGTATAAATCCGTGATTTATGTTTGACTACCTTCTCTATGGTTGGACCTCAGTCATCTCTTAGGGTATGCTGCTGATCCATCTCAGAGCCTGCAGAAGTGGTTTCTTTGAATGGTAATGAAAATATGAGGATTGTAAGAAAAAACAGGTGTAATTTCTATATATTTCACCCTATGTAGCACTGAGGCTTAAAAAGGAAACTGGGAAGTGCTCCTAGGTCCAGTAGTGCAGATATAGCATTATATCTTCAGTGTGCAAGAACATACTTGTATTATAATATGAAATTGGTAGATACAAATGTAAAAAAGAAGCACAACTTTTACAAAATATTATTTTGAATTAATGTATACACATTATACACATTATACATGGATTTTATGTCACATATGTCTCCAAGTTTACTCACAACAGGTCAAGCAATGGCTTTCTGTGTCATTCATGTGTTTTGAATTGTGAGTCATTCTTGCATCTGTATTATATTATTATTCTGGATTAAAGAAGAAATTAGGTACGGGATCTTGTTTAACAAAACTATCCTAAATACAGTGCCTGTCGAATTTAGATTTTTCCAAAAGGCTGGGGCAGAGAGGGATTATTTAGAAATTTACCAGACCAAGGCTGAAGATTTGCCAAGTAAAATAGTTGTATAACAAAGGCTATAGTGTATCATGAGAATACTCTTTATATAATAGTTACATGATGTGCTTCTGTTTTTTTTTTTGAAGGAGGAACAATTATACAAATCAAATAATTCGTTCTTTTTAGTCCCCTGGTGCTTGTATTGCAAATAAGGAGGGGTGCTGGAAGGGGAAAATATTTTGTGTTTGACTGTTTTTTAAACAAAAATTCTTTTCAAAATGAAGGTTATACAACTTACATAATTTTGAAAAATAAGAGATGAAGAGTTGAAGCCAGTTTGGTCCCTGAGTAAATATGTGGAAAACTACTAAAATCTATACAATTGTTCCCAAGGCCACCTTTCACCATCACTATCAACAGACAGATTTCTTTCTGAGCTGTAGGGAACAAGCCACCCCTGTGGCTCATCATCATTCCAGTTCAGGCCAGGGCTTTAATTAAGGGCTCCTCCTGTTATACACCATTGAAATGAATGTAAACCTGTCCGCCTTTATTTTGTTTGTGGACCTGCTTATACTATACATCTTGTACATCAGAAAGTTTTCAATCACTGTCGGAACCCTGTAACAAAGATGCATTATCATGATATATAATCCTTTCATAACAAAGTGGGACATTTAGTTGGTCTGTTGTTCGCAAGAAGTGGCTGACTCCCCATTTCCTTGAGTTTCTGTCCACTTTGAGGTGTCAGTAATGCTGGAGCAGAGAGGTGATGAGCAGCTCCTTTCAGCTGATGAAAGTTGTTAATATAGCTGGCAATCAGCAGAGTGATCTCAAGGATCTATAACAGGAACATAGAAAACTCTCTGAAAAATACAGTGATGTGTTTTGACTGCTGAAAAAATAGCTAACTTTTTAGTAAGTGACAATCACCCTCAGCTGGAAAAGTACTTGTACTTTATCAAACAAATTAATGATGGGGAGAGAGGAAACGCCTAATAGAGCTTTTTTCTATTGCTTCTTGCAAATAATGTAATGTTATTCCCATCAGTATCCTAGATACTTTGTCTTCCACAGCCTTAAATGATTCAAACAGATGGCTTCTTTCACTCTGAGAGAGATTTTGAAGTCCGAAAGATGATGCTTTTAGAAAAAGCTTTCATGATGTGTTCCCTCAGTTTTGCTAGAAAATATCTAGTGCTCAGAGAACTAAAGACACAGGGTGGATAAAAGGAATTATGACTTCTGGGACCTTTTACCATATTTTCTCCTTGCAATCCACACAAACTTGTCTATAAGGGCACAATCTGAGGGAAACCTGAACACATGTATTGTACTATGCTTATTTGTGTGAAGAGTCATGTTTTGACCCCAATTTTTCTGTGGAATTTTGTATTCTGTTTCATAAATTCATAAATGCTGTTCTGACTAACAGCAAAAGACTTTTAAATCTTTGCTTTAAAAAAAAAATATAGTCAATCTTACCAGTGAAGGAGGGCATCTAGATTTAAAAAGCATGAACAGTTCCTTTACCAAAGATAAAAATATCCTAGGATTTTTAAGAATCTTTCAGATCTTATGTTCTACAGTTACCCTGTAAAACACAAGTGTACCTTCTTAAAAATTATCTCTGGCGCTAATCAAACAAACAGACTAGCTTTTAGGTACTGCATATACTTCCTGTCCTTAACAGCCTTCTTTATTCTTTTATGAAAAATTTGGAATGTTACAGACAAGGACATGAAAAGGAACACATCAGTATTATGACTGTTAGCTCTTACATTACTAATTGTTTCACTCCCTAAAACCATCTGGCAAAAGTCAATAAGCTGAGAATGCTACGAATAAAGAAGGTGTTTCATCTTTCACATGTGTTAAGGATTACCCCTAGAAAAAACAGACAAGTAGCAGATGGTGGGAAACTATTTCAGGTAATATACCAACCTTTGGTTTTGTCATGGCAAAAAGGTGTTTTTCAGTTGATTTGTCCTTAGTCTGAGCATTGTTAACAACCAACATAAAATCATCTTGATAGCCTCCAAAAGTCATCAGACTCTTATATGTATATGTAACTGTTAATCGCTTAAAAAAAGAAAACCCAAGAAACAAAACACAAAGCTATAAGCAGGACAATGCAGGAAATAACAAATTATGACAAATACTTGTTTAAAAATATAATTACACATGTATTTTTCAGAATGTTGTTGTTAGGCTCTTATGCATCTTGAAATTTATTGTAAATTTTGGGATCGCCTCTTTCAGATCTTCACTATGAGGAGTTTCCATTGCAGATGGTAACTCTTTTAAGTTCGACCTCTGTTTCTATTCCAAATTTATTAGATCAAAGATACTATAAGCAGGTTTCAACTCAAGTGTGTAATTCAATTTACACAAGTCTTGACTGACTTTGAGAGAAGTTAATCTTAGGAATTCCATTTGAAATTGAAGCAGTGTCTAAATAAATGAAATGGCAGAAGAGTATGAGAAATCTAAAGAAATTTAACTCCAGGACTTCTTTTTGTGCAGTGATATAGTTCATATACACGCAAATGGAATTAAATTCTGTTCTCTTTTTTCACATCTCTGAGGAAACATATGCTCTTCAAGGCTTGTCCGCCTTCCATGCCTCGACTCTTACTGTTCAGTGTTCAACACCACACTGGTGGCCTTTGAGTCTATGACTAGCATTTAATTTATCATTATGACTCATATTAATTTGGTTCAGATGTTCACATTTAAATTAATTGTAAGACAATATCTGTACAATAACTGACTTAATGTCCTTTGGTTATTAAACCTCTTTCTGCCCTTATTTTGAAATAGCATTTTCTCTAACTACCCTTTGCAACATCAGTTCTGATATCCTTGATCTTTCCTACAGAAAATCAGAATATTCCCTGGAAACGGAGCATTTCTTCAATGGCAAGTAAGGCCTGCTGATACTGTAAACTGGCCCTGCCATAGCTAGCTCTATGAGTAGATAGTGTTCATAGAGCTTTCTGCAGTCTGATGCAAGCTCATTTTGCTTGTTCTCTGAACAGAGATGCTATTTGCTCTCCTCATGTTCTTTGTTCTATTATTTCTTTAACTGCAAAGAAACATAATGAAAAGGCCCAAATCAGTACAATTATAAATTTGAGATTTTAATTTTCTGATATTCAGTATTAGCACTTGCTAATAGCACCATGCCATTCTGTTTCTTTGCATGATATAAATTAAAGCAGGGATCTTCTCAGGCACTGCATTTTTACACTGATTACCATGAGTTGTTTTCTGTGAAAACTTTTATTGCGAATCAAAGAAAAATCAGAAACTAAAATGACATAATTAAATAACACTGGGTTATATTACCTACTATTAAATAAAAAATAATAAAATGAAAATAACAATCTTTTAAAGTAACTGCTCTTTGCAGAGTATATGTATTATGAATAATAATGGAAATGAAGTCTCCAAGAAAAGAAAATTAATGTTATTGTAAGACTGTAACTATGGATCTCCTGACATCTGAATGATTAAAACATTAATATTTCATTAAAAGATATAAAAACTGTATCTGATAAACAAAAATAAATTCTGTGCAAATAATTCATTACTTACTTCTGTTATTAGTGCTACTACGATGATTGTAACATTAAAGTGTTTTGAAAGGAGTGAATTTTTGCTTGAAGGGAAAGACTAGGTAACTTAGCATGGAAAGCTAATGCTTTCTTTTATGTAGTATGGCGGTGAATTTCTCCTTATGCTCAGTATTACAATCTACTTTGACGACAAGTAAAAAAGAAATTTCACTTACCATAGAGGTGTAATCAAGGATACTTATGCCATCTTCATGTACAGCAAACCATATGAAGAAGGACTTCTCAACTGAGGATGTTGCTATAGGCTACAAAGAGAAATGTTCTTTAATTATGACTTCAAAATAAGGCAATATATAAATAATTATTAACTATAAGCTACTCCAGAGCTCTCTCCATCCACAGATCTTACTGAGATTTACACTGGGAGGAAACTGATGTAAAGGAATTGAAGTAGCTGCCCAAAGCCATGTAGACAGCCAGTAGCAGAACAGTGAATTCAGCTTCCCCCACCTCTTGAAGCCTCTCCTGGTGCTTAGTCCAACAAACTGTATAGTTTCATTAATTAAAAAAAAAAACTCAGGTGTTTTAAAGTTTGTTCACTAGCACATATGTCTACATATGCAAAGAACAGAGTGCTGATAAGCAATTTTTAATAGATATATACTGGGATTACCTAATAAAACATAAGGGGCGAGGTGACAGTTTTGTTTAACATAGCCACTATTTGAATCAAGAGAATTCAGGTACTAGTGGTTTAAGAGAAATTGAGAGAGGCCAGCATGGAAGGGAGTGCTCTAAATACGCTTAACAACATTTAGTGTTTCTGCAAGGGTCAGCTTCCATAGCCAGTTAATGATGCCTTTTCAATATTCTACTAGTTGTCAGGTAAAAAAAGTCTGAAACAAAAGGCTATCTCAAAATAAGATACAAGAAAATGAAAAGATACCACCTAGATTAATAATGTAAAACAAGCAATAAGTGTATTGGAAAGTTACTATTATGGTAAACTTAGTACGATGGCTATTTCATTTCACCAGTATATGGTTTAAACAAGTTAGTAATTTGACAAGAGATTCAATCAGCATATGTATAACGCACTCACTTTCAAGAAAAAGGTATTACTATTTGCAAATTATATTTATATTAAAACAGCCCCAATATAAGTTTCTTACTTTTGCTGCAAACAATTTAGCACCAAAGAAAGACCATTTTCTGGCTACAGCGAGATAAATGCGCACACAGTCTGCAGCACTGTGCCCCCGGAGAGCCATCCACCTTGTAGACAATCGCTGACAAAGCTGTCTGTTGAAATGAAATATGTAATTTAGTTATTGAAAGGAATTTCAATGCTTACCCATAGTGAGTTTAATGAGCAAAAAAGAATCTATTTATTAAAATGATAATTTAAGTTAATACAACATCACTTTTACAGTATTAAATAAATCCAAAATGTCATTTAATATTTTTATGCACATGAAAATTATGAAGTGTCTTCTAATTTCTGCAACATTATGATTAAATATTGATGTAGCATAAAGGAAAAAGTCTAGGACAGCTTTTAATGTGTTTCTACAGATAATCAATCTACCTTTTATCAGTACTGAACAGCTACGCCAGTTGTCATTCCAAAAATCCATCCAGCTTAGCACATATCTTTACCTGTGGCTAGTAGTAGATGTGGAAGACATGGCTTAACGTTAGTCTTTTTTAGTGTATCTGGGTGCTGCTACCAAAAAGGGTGCTTCAACGCATGATGTGTTCACACTAGCTCTTTTCTTTTGTGGCCCCATGGTGAGCTGGTTCAATAAACTGATCCCATGGAAAACTAATCCTCCAGAAAAACCCACCCCAGAATACCTTTCTAGCACATTGACCTGCAGGAATGACTCACCCGGCAGCCACAGGATTAATAGATGCAGCAAGAAAAGGGAGGGGGAGCATATAGTAAAGGGAGAGCTTTCACTGGCAGCTTATTCTTACTGGACATTTATGAAGTCAAACTGCACCCTTAGCAAAAGAATATTAGCAATAGGGCAGGTCCAGCATGATTGTTTACCTGCCACAGACGTCCAGCTCTGGCAATTAGTAGTTTAGAGACTACCTGAACAGTTCAACAGATGTTTGACTTATCCTCCATGAGTTAGTCTAACCAGGGCCTCTTATATTTTGTTCTTTGAAATTAATTACATAACTTTGTTGTGTGTATACTTTTGAATGTCCCTATTGTCTATTGAGTATGTAATAACGTTACTTTGTGCAAACAATAATAGCTTTGAACTTTCTCAACCCTGTAGTGATGAACAAGTTAAAACATTTCTATAATGTTTACTGGACTTCAAAATTGCTATATCATCGACTTTGGATGATTTATTACACTGCTCTGCTCTTCTTTATGTTAATACGTGTTGACTGAAAAGACTTGCAGATTACTTGTTTTAAATTGATACCTTACTGGCAAGTCCACTAAGTTAATGAGTTAATGTATTGCCAATTTGCCTAGCTGCGAGAGATTTCATATTGGAATAGCAAACAGTCAGATCAGATCCATGTGTCCTTTACCTTCAGCAGTCTGTGCACAGACTTAATTTAGTTTTGCTGAATAATAAAAATAAGAATTTCAAAATCTCTGGGTTTTGTAACACTATGTAGTAACTTGTACAGCTTTTGCTAGAAGGCGTGCTTAATGATGGTCCTCTGTTTAGATCAGAAATACACAGAGGAAATGAGTTCTTCAGTTTGGTAAGAAAATGAGTTTCAAACACAGGTCTAGGCAAATATGGCAAATTGTACCTAAAAGCAATTTAAAACCTCCTCATTTCACTCATAGATTTTTAGAGAATATGAACGGCAAAATACATCTCACCTTAACTGTTCCTCTGAACAACCATGTCTGTATCTCTTAGGGTAGAATCTCTCCAAAACTTGTTTTAATGTTTGACTGGACTTAGACTGGGAAGTGACTTGCCCTGCAGGAGTTGAGAAGGGCCGTTCAAAATCTCCAATCTCTACCTAAGGGAAAGACCAGGAAGCAGGAAATTTTTTGTTATCCAGAACAATTTTCTAGCTGGGTATTATAAGCTGTCTTTTCCTCTGTCTTACCAAGTATAAAATGAAAACCAGTTTGTCAGTTAATGTATATTTTTCACTGATATAAATGTCATGCAAGTAATTTTATTTTTCTTATTCTATAAGAAATGGAAAAATGATAAATATCAAGTATAAATTGTACAAATATAATACTTGCTAGTTCTGTTCTGAGATTGCTAGATCTCCAGCAGACACAAACCAGTTTACACGTATTAACACCATCAAATAACTTTCTCAGTAACCTTCCCTTGAGCCTTTAGTTTTTTAAAACTAAAACAGAGCTTATCAAGACCATGCCTAGTAAAGGAGTCTTAGACTTTCATTAGACAGCTGTTACTTTGGTGTATTAACTTGCAGAAATCATGTCAGGAATAGTGAATGAAGAAATGGTTCATGATTAAATGATATGTAATCAAAGAGGGCCTGACTGTGTAGGAGGTGAAGCACATTTTATCCGTACTGGTGCCAGCTGCGGCATACACTGTAAAGAATTTCCACTGAAGTACAGAGGTAGCCTTACACAAAGATTCCAGCCCAGCCGACTGCCTGCATTATCATGTGTAAAAGGTGGAGGTCACTTGACCTGGACCAGTTTCTTTATTTAAGTTTTTCATCTGTAAAACTGCTGTGTGAGTCATTAATGCACAAGGATTACCTGAGCTAAAAGAGCTGTCAATTCCATCGCTAGTTCTTTGTTTACAGGGAAAAGTCCATTGACTATTTGATCATTTGTCTGATATACTAGCAGCAGCTTCTCTCTCTCTGTCTCCCCGTGGGCTTGAACAGAAAAATAAAGCCTACAGAAAAGACAGAAAGTTATTAAATAAAGAAGATAGGGAAATGCATTAGCCCTGAGGATCAGCAGTATCTGCTCTGAATGTGACATGTTTACGTCAGCATCCAAACACATTAGCAGAGCAACACTTGTACTTGAACCAGTTGGGCAAATATTTAATTTCAGTCTTCTGAATTCAGTGTTGCCTTTTTTTTTTTTTTTTTTTTTTTTGGCAGCCCTGCTCACAACTTAAGAACTAGAAAAAAGTAATTATATATTTTTTAAAAAAATCTCCAGTTACACCCATTTACTATTATTGTTGCAAGCTTTGCGTCAGCCAATATTTTTCAGATGAAGAAACTCTGCAGAAATTAAAAACAAATTGTGGGACAAGGCAGAGATGTTATACATCCTAAACAAACCTATTTTTGTAAGTAAGGCGGACAGTCCTTGTGCCTTCACATTTCCCAGGGTGTTGTTCTTTGGAGGCTTGCTCCCATTTTGAAATAATGTCACAGATCTAGAAGGAAAGCAACACAAAACTGACTTTGCCATGTATTTCTTTGAAAACACCTCTGAATAGAAATTGTCAACTTATTTTAATATCTTTTACCTATTACACATCAGAAACATACAAAGCTTGAATTTTTAAACTTACTGAAAGATAACATTACTTGCATTTCTTAGTTGGATCATTTAATAATAAACATTTTTGTTATTTGTTTATCCTGCAACACACACACACTACCTTTGGAAAAAGAGCCATAAGATGCTTATATGGAAAGGCCAGGTACTTGACTTGACTTAGCAGCAGCTAATGAATGTGTAATTATACCGAGTGAGTTGTTATATAATTCATCAAATGTCTTTGATCTCTGCCTTCTCTTTCTGCTGCATGCTGGAGTTTTGCAGATCCTTTCTAATAACTGCTATAAAGTTTGTGTGAAGTTTGTTATGAAGTGCAGCAAGAGTGATTCACAAGATGGAGTGTAGATGGGTAGGTGGGCAGAAGGGGAGGAGGCGGAGTGGAGGTCCTGGGAGCCCTGCTGGGCTTCAAGTCACTGTTCCTTCATAAAACAGCCTTCCTGGAAGCATTAGTGTGAACAGCTTCTAAAGTTACATTTACCAAGAAAAGAAGTATATTTTTATACATTTTGCTTTCCATATGGTAATTATTCTGTTGGGGGGAGAGAGCTGATCATGATGACTCTGCTTGTTTGTCACTAGGCCTGGTTGTACTGTGCCTTGTCACTCAAAGTGCAGCTGTGAACATTGGCCAAAGGGTGCAAAAGTCTACTTGGTAGAAGCAAGAATAATTAGTTATTAATTAGTTGCTGAAAGGCTTGAAAAATTATTTAATATTTTTCTAAAGCATAGATTCTGTTGCATTTTGCCACTCTTTGCTACAAAGAATTTAATTCCAGCAATTGGGGGAACTAAAATTCAGAATTCAGAACAATGATAAGCCAAACATTGGACATTTCCCAAATTGAACTCTAATATTCTGAATTTAGATAAGGAACCCTTTCTTTTTTTAATTCCCCAAGATCTCCACCCCAGTATCAGTGACTTTTTGGACCTCAAGTGGTCATTTTGCGGAGCTATATGTTAAATGAAATCTCTAAACACATGTTGGACTCCAATTGCTTTTTAGTTTTAAAGAACTGTGATTAGTAACAGCTTAGTTTTTCTTTTTTAACCCAGATGTTACTTCTCGGAATAATATCGGTCTCCTGGACAAAGCTTTTAAATATAATTCACTGAATGAATTTCAGCAATTGAAAAAGTTATTTTTTTTTAAATCGCTCCTTTTACGCTAAGACAGTTTTCAGCCTGAAAAGTGTTTTCCTTTACATTTTCTGAAGAGAGCTCTGTAAAATGAAGATATTTTGTTGTTTTATATTTAAAGCTCATTAAAGGCTTTTGTTGTACCTTGATGTTTCCTTGAAGACAGTGCTCTATATCCTTTCCAGAGGGATCATCAGAAAACAGTGCAAATCCTGACTGAGCTGGTTTCCTCATCCCTGTATCCTGGTTCAGGGTGTTCAGAAATTCTTCCACTGTGGTAGAGGCATCAAACCCAACAACCTAAAGAGGCAACCAAAATGTATTTTGCTATCACATTTATATCTCTCCCCTTCCAAGATTTTGGAAGATGATACCTGTGGAATAACAGTGGGAATATAAGAAGCATTCCATCCTCTGTGAATAACTTACTGTCACTGGAAATTAAAAATTTCCATAAAGGGTCTGGAAAAGATTCAAGATTTCCACATGGGAGGTCAATTCAATGGAGTTTTTCTCCAGCCAAAAAATGATTAACTTACCAGCAGATTGTACCTTATTGCATTTTGTTTATGAAATCAAAGTCACTATTAAAATGTTTTAAAATGTTATATTTTTGGTTTTATTTTCTTTGTTTATACTAGTTTCTTTGCACTTGCTACACTTGAATTTCTGCTACAGAATTTATATAACAGAGAGCAGTCTGGTATCTGAGCTTTTTGTGACTTGAAAAATGAAGAAAACCATAATTTCCTACAGTTTTCAATCAATTAATAATTTTTCATCATGTAGAACTTCAGAGGGATATGGTGGGAGATCTACATTGGTTGATCCAAAACATTTTACAAATGTTCCTCTGTCAGTACTAGCTAGGTCAGTAATACATAGAGCCTTATAATTTTTTTTTCCCAAAATCTGAATTTTTGTCTGTTATTAGTATTACAGCATTTTGGCAAGATACAGAGAATGGCCTTTACACAGATACTATTTGCTGATGTTCACTTAAATCTGTTTTGAGGGCGTTTCCCTGTATTTGACATGTTGAAGATGTTTTACTCTTTTGGTAAAGAAATGTCTTGAAAATGGATCTTGGACTTGTGTTCTAGGCTTCTCAGTGGTTGGCATAAAAAAAAAAATCTGCTGAATCTGGCTTCAGAAATGACACAAGAGTTTTCAATACCACTACAATTGCTTATTTGCTGATCCCACTGAAGCAATTTATATATTTAATTACAGATTTTGTAGCCCTCGGAAGTAGACATTTTTGACCGATAAATAACTATGAGCAGTTATTCCTTTTCTTCTTCAAACTTCAATTTTGAAACCTTTTAGGATGATTTAAATACATGTTGTTTTTTCTGTTTTATTGGCGAGCGGTAAGCAATTAAGTAACTTAGAGCGGGGAAAAAAGCTGAGTTCTTCTGTGACCCAAAATTAAAAGTTTATTTAATATACTTTTGATTTCATATAAAAACTTGCTTTCTGTCTAGGAATACTGTGAATTGCTAAAAAACTCTTTTCAGCCAGCTCTCATGGTTAGAAACACAAACCAGGATGTGAAGCAGTATTCACTACAGGCTTTGACTGGTGAAGTCCCAAAAGAGTTAAGAATGAAGCTGTGTTTGTTCTGTAACAAATGCAGTTATCCTTCATGACTGATAATGGGAGCTACAGCTGTGCTTCCAGGCCTTCACTGAGATATTTAACTTTCAAGATGTCTGATGAAAGGAAGTGGAATTTAATACCTTTCCCTTTTCTTCAGTCTAATTCATTCATCTGGTGGTCAGGTTAAATAAGAAACAGAACTTCTGTTGTAATTTTTTTTTTTTCTTTTAAAGATTTCCTCCTAAGCCTTTACTCTTTGCTGATCAAATCAGATCACAAGTACCTTGTGCCTGCCGTTGCTAGCGCTGGCACAGGATGAAACTTTAACCATGTTTACCTTAACACTTACAGTTCTGTTTGTGATGTACTACTTCATGTATATGCTAATAGCAAGGGTTGGGAGAGCTCAGATTTTGTGGTCTACTTGACATTACCTGATATATGCCATTCATGAAATGAACTGGAATACTGAAGGGCAGTGAATGGTGGTAGGGGTTTCTTAGAAGAGTGGAAAGGATTTCCATTCTGGAAGGTCTGGCTTCTCTGTCTCCATTCTGCTGGGTGCGCTCTACACATCGCTGACAATATATTGCATATTTCCCAAATTCAGTCCTGTAACAAAAAGAGAAATAAGGCAATTCTTGGGGACTGATTGGAAGGATAGTAAACTGTGAGTAAATCTCTCTGGGGGTGACAAATGGGAGGAGCACTTAGATTTCACTCTGCAAGATTTCCAACACATTTTTCCATGTGGAATTATAAAGAGAATTAGTCCACCGAGACCAACAGAATTGTGCCAAAGATGAACATGGCTCGGAGTGTTTTCTGTAAATGCCACATTTTGGTTATCATGGTTTTGCAACATACAGTCAGAGTTCCACTGCAGAATATTTTTTAAAACAAAGGATAATTTTCCCAAGTGATGCATAGAAGTAACATGTACTACAGTTAGTAGCACTGGAGCACAATTCTACTGAAATTTATTTTTAAATGTATGTCAAAAAGATCTGAAATATTAAATGAAAGATTGAAAATAAGGTATTTCAGAAAGACCAGTCGACTAGCTAGGTAATAATATTCAGGCACACCTGGAATCTGCGTTCTTCTTTAAATGAAGTTTAAGAAGCCACAGGAATGGGTGCTGGGGCAGAAAGAGTCCAACGCAGAGAGCCAAGAGCTGTAAGCCCTGGACAAAACGAAGACATTCACTGTTTTAAACATCTTACAAAGTAAAACTTCTGCTGTGGCTGCTGGCCGCATTGCAGCTTGCTGTGCCATGTTGAGTAACAGACAGCTGTAAATAGGAATAAAACCTCAAAACAGAGAAAAAGCTGAGTAAATAAGTATGTCATCTCACTGGGAGGCCAAAATGCTCTCTATTTACTTGTGTACAGCAAGTTATTTTGGGGCTGGAAATGGGAAAGCAGATCAGTTTGTATAAAAAGCAGTTAATACACAGAAAAACAAACACTAAGGCTGCAAGGCAAAGCACAAAGAAACGAGGAGAAGCCTGTGCAATTTTCATTCAGCTCTCCTGTTATATACATTATGAAGCAACTCATAAGATGTTGTCCTCCTACTAAGCAGATAATAACTATTGAAAAAACAATTATTCAATATTTTGGTATATTTGCATTGCTCAATATGTATCCATAGGCTTCACTTAATATAGACTGCTCTCGTGTATTCTGGATATACACTTACTAACGTCGCAACTACTTTCCTCTCAACTGTATCAATGCATCATAGTGAAATTTAGAATATGGGGTTTCTCTGTCTTGATTTCTGTCCTGCCTGGTATTAAATATAAATTTGACAGCACAGGAACAGATATTTCCTTTCATCAAATACTTGTACTTTGATGGAGGCTCGCATCGGCTCTGTTTCAGGAAGACACTGCAGTAGGAGCAAGTGTGGGAAACTACCCCATGAATTTAGGACTTAAAAAAATTTGTGTGAGGCTGCAAATATTTTATTCAACATGTTAACTCTTAAAAATCATGCTAGTGGATTATGATAGCAGCAATTTATTGCAAAGAAGGATTATGGTTAGTTTAAACTCCATCAGCCATATGTAACTTCAGTGTGTGTTAATTGACATGAATGTGCTATGTCTATTAAAAAAGCTTTGTGGATGTTTTAGCAATGCACAAGTACTGTCCATATCTGAGAGATGGCCTGTTTCTAGATAACAGGTATGTCTGCTGGTCATGTTTTACCACCTAGCATGCACGGTGTGTGCAGAACAGCGTGACATACAAGAGGTGACTCTATCAGAAACCTTGAGTGTATCTGAGATTCCACAACATGGCACTACAGCTTCTCGTCACACTTATGCTATTGAAATAGATGCCATTAAAATAAAATACTGGGGTACCTGTATTGGTCCTGCCTGGTTTTGTGGATGTCGACGTCTAGTCTGTTTAATAAGCTGACAACAGATCTCATTTTGAAGTTCAGGATGTGTGAGGCAGATCTGCAACGCACTTTGGGCCAAAGATACATGGTAATCAATGGCAGGAGAGTCAACTGCAGCATTTATAAACAACTGGCAGGTCTAGATATAAAATAATAAGCAAGTGAGTTCACATACACAACATTCCAACGAATCTTTTAAGACATTCTGTATAACTCAGAACCATTTGTTTTATGTCTTGGCTTTCACTGGGTTTTTACTGTGGGTAAGTGTAACCTTTCCTATCCCCAGTACTGTCTTAGGAAAGCCAGGTGTTAAGCATTTGTTGTGCTGTGTTAGAAGAAAGCTTGCATATCACTCATTGCATTTACTCTATATAATAGTTGATGAATTTTCAAGGTATGTAAGCAAAATACAAGAAATGGATGGAAGTCCAATCTATTTCTAGACTTTCTGAAAATATGTGGATGCACAAGACTAATTTTTACCACCAATGGAATAACTGAAACATGACCTGTTCTGCTTCTAAATCAATTCCCTACCTGACTTTTAAACTGATTTATACAAAGTTTCAGCAAAGTTCATACAAGTAATCTCTTATTTATTTATTTTAGGCAAGTGTCTGCGATTTGAGTTAGGTCTGAAAAGTATTTCAGAAAGTGGTTTCCAAATAAATGTACATTAATTTTTATCAGGGAAGTACAGTCCCTTTTCAATGTTCATGCTGCAGGATTGCAGAAAGTAAGATGGATGTACTTCTTTATAGTGCTGCAAACATTTCAGACAAACAAGCTGGAAAGTTTGCCTACAAGTGGCTGTGACTGAACATATGGTGCTTGTCTTTAATTCCTTTCTAGATTGGAACCATTACATCAAAATTCTCCAGACAGTAGATGCTTCAGGGAATTTGGTCTTTAGTCTTGTGTAAATTCTGTGGAGAAAGTTCATTTATCCAAGCACCATGCCTTCCAACTTGTAATTTATTTCACAATGTACAGAAAAAGGAACAACAAGATTTTATTTTGTCTCTGGAGCAGACTTTATAGCCTGGCTATTAGTTAATGTTCAGGAGTAGTTTTACCTAGGTGAGGGCAGGAGAGAGAAGAAAGAAGGTTAATGGCATTGCATTATACTCCCTCTCTTAGAGATCAACCACCTAGCTGGCCTTTAACTGGGAAAGATGTAAGGTTTTACTGGCATATAAAAATTTGCAAGAAACTATCTGCGGCACAGCAATTATGAACCATTATATGTCTCTTAATCATAAAGCCTTGTAACTGCTACCAGGAGATATGTGTATTTTTAAAGGTATATAAAAATCTTTAAAAGTGAATTCACAAAACTGTCATGAAATACTTTTAATAATTTTACTCTGTAATATTTTCTCTATTTATATTACTAGAATAGCTAATCAGTCTTTTAAGAATAGCTACTTCACATGAAGACAAGATTTTATTAAAAAGAGCAGTAGAATCTCTGCCTTCTATCTCCATTTAAAATAATCCATGACTTGCTTAAACTAGAAACACTGGCTTTGCTTTGTTTTTATTTAGATTTTTTAAAATGTCTTCTAGCTGATTTAAATATTTCTACAACAAAATTTTCACCTACCATTTGTTCCTCTTGAAATCTAACTGAAAAAATAGTATTTCAGATACAGTTCTTCAAATACAGAGATCCACTCTGTTAGGTTCTCTGGGGGTTATAAACTTAATTATAACATTATTATCACCCATAGTGGCTGTGGATTTTTCTACTAACTTGCACTTTATCAATAACCTCAGTAGAAAGGGCAAAAGTTGCAGCCTAAACTGGTTGCTCACAGCTACAAGTGATCTCTTTACATTGGAAGTGATACTCTTTGTCGAGATAATACGGGGACATTCTGCTACTCTCCATTAGTTACCTCCACTAAAGGTAATAGTAAACGTCTCTTTTTTCTTTTTTCCTTATCTGTTGAACATCTCTAATGAGACAACTAAAAGCCATTCTTTAGCTAAGAGTTAAATAGTAAGTCAGTTAATAAAAGAAGCATCTGCTATGGTTTTACCTTGAATAATTTAATTGCTTCAGTTTGCAAGGCTTCTGATGGCAATGTTGTAAGAGGGGAAGCAATTCCTTCTTTGCTGTGGCAAAGGGTAGGATGTCTCCAGATCTGAGAAGCTAAACAGATAAAATATGTAGGTTTTGCAATTAATTCAGTTCATAAGTGCATTCAGTAAATAAGTATTAGTTTTATTATTAGTTGAAACAAAAATAAGTATTGTTATTAGTTAAAACAAAACAAACTTACAGGTATCACCTTCCATATGTAATAATTTGCAGATAAGTTGTTCAAACTCAGATCCGACATTTACACTCGTAATTCCAGCTGCAACTGTCAGATGGTAAAGCCATGTGTCCTAAAGTAGAAAAACACACAGCAGCTCACTAATTCCATGTTGGAAGAAGCTGCTTCATCAAGATTTTGTGCTCACCTTGAAACACTGCCATACACTCCTGTTGAAGTCCAAAGGAATTTGCCTGTATTCGAATACACCTGTATTCATGGTGTCTGTTACAAATATTAAGCAAGGAAGATTGGACAGGGCTCTCTTCAGAAGTCTTTTACCCTCAGAAATCATGGCTAATTATCAGGGCATTCTTCCCTTCCTCTTCAGAAACCTAATGTAAGTGCCTTTTTATCACTGCCAGATCCTGCTAACCTGGGGATAAGGCCAGAAAGCAAAATGAGGTCTACAAGATTACTGGGAACAACGAAGCAATAATAATCAAATGGTTGTAACCATACCTCTCATTTCTTCTTCAATACAGCATTCTTCCCTACTGTTAGCCTTACCTGTGAAAATGGATAACAGTATCCCAATACCTCTCAGGAAGGTCTGCTACAGGTCTGCCTACAAGTTAGTGTAATGTGAGCAAAATTCTCCAATTACAGCATATTTGATATACTGCACCATCTCCTTATGTACGCCAGCCTGCTTATTTTAATCTGTTTTAAAAAGGATTACCTATGACAGCGTTAGTTCGCAGACACACTCTGTTTGATGTTAATGAAGCAGGACCTCCTCCTTGTTTATGATATCAAACTACAAGCCAGATGACTTGTAGGTCCCCCCTCCTCCTCTTTAAGAACTATTCATATCACAGCATCATACTCACAGATTCACAGATATGTTACTGAAAATCAATTAAAAAGTCCTTTTATTACCTTCTCATGTTTGGATCCTATAAGAAGATAAGTAGGTCCTTGATCTTTGGGGTGGATAACAACAGTGTAATGTGTTGATAATAAACTGCGACCACTAGCCTCATAATCTTCATCAGAATCACATGATCTATCAACTTCTTCAACCTTTGCCTCAAAAAGCTTGATTTGACCAAGAGGAAACTGAAAGTAAACACCGAAGTGGTGAGAGAGCAAATGTTTGCTTCAGTGCACAGTAATTTCATATTTCTTACTCTACAAATAGAAAGAAAAACATGAATGACTATCCATACCCCTCTATACTTATTCATTTTTAGTCCTGCCAAGGAATGTCAGATAAGCCAGCCATTGCAGACAGCAGCAGGAGAATGCTATGTGCCAAAGTCTGAAAGTGAGATTTTAAATAATTCTTTCCCAGGTCTGCTTCTGTATCTAGTTAACACAATGCATGTCTGTTAGGGTGAGAGAAGTAATTCTTCAATATTTACACATGGTTCCATGCAAAACTTCCCTGGGTCAAGGGAAGAATAAGCTAGAATAAGCTTGTCACTTCAAAGGACAGCATTGTAATGCTGACGTATCTATTTTGTTCATGCTATAAATTCAAAAGGTAAATTTTTTGTTTGGTAGACCTTCTCAGTTGGTTTCATTCGCCAGTCTGACAGATTACAGTACTCGAGTATTCAGTTGTATATGTAGTTATGATCAATTATCAGGAAATATTTTATATGAAAAGCCATTCAAAAGGAAATCTTCACAGATGTAAAATTATTTCATAGTCATTATCAACAGGAAGCCACGACAAACACAGATACATCATGCAATCTTCACAACTGGGTGAGAGGACTGACAGGATGACAGTCCTTACTGGCTATTTTATGCAAAGCTCCCTTCCTTCCCACAGCACCCCTGCTCTTTCTCTAGCTGTTCAGGATATTCAAAAGAGTGATATTTAATGGTGTAGTGAAGAAGCCTTGGCTACTGTTTCTGTGTTGTTTGTGATGTCTAGCAATGCTTAGTGATTCAGGAGAAGGATGTTTCTTTCACTTTGGAAAAACGCTAGTTGTGCACTAGAGTAACTAGCATCTTATTTGTGCCAAGTTCAAGTGTAAGCCTGAAATAAGTTGTCTTAAAATATCAATGCCAGGGAAAGGCTTCTAAATAATACTGTTTAAAAATTGAAAATATGATACTGGAGAGTAGCTTGCCAGTTTGACTCAGTCTAGGGTAGGCTTCCTGAGCAGTGATTGCATAAAGTGAGCAGTTAAAAATACAATAATTTTGAAGAAAACATCATGTAGTAGTGGCTCTTTATTCCAGTGCCCTCACTAGTAAGGATTAAAGATGTATGTGGTGACTTGTATTTTCTGTGGTCCTTCTGAAGCATCAACTTTTTGAACAAGGTAAGAATCTGAGAATCGACAGATGTTATTTCATATACAAATATTCAAGACTGATTTATTCACTAGGTTTCACTAAAACACAGCTGTCTTATTTTTTAATTTGTATTCCATTTTGAAAGGAGGCCACTTAAATGGTCTCCATTACTGTATTAACCACTGAAGATTGTGTAATTTGTTTCCGCAAAGACACATTTGGCTACAGCAAACGTGTTTTTAATTAGCAAATTGTTGAACATTAGAAATGAACTAGCTTTGGAAAACTTTTCGTACACATTCTGCTTACAAAAGCAAAATTCTTATTCCATTACAAACTAGCAAATTAGTTTCAATTTTGCTTTAAAAGGGCAGCAATACTTGTTCCAGATCTGAGGGAGATATTCACAAGGATCCAGCAAAGTTCTTAGATTCTTCTAAAGGGCATGCTAAACCCTGAAAAATCTTCAATGATAAAAATGTGTAAATTCAGATATTTTAAACATAGAGATTTCTTCATAAGAGAAAATGGAAGTTAATTTTAATATAAGATGAGCTAGAGATTAATACTCTAGTCATTTGATTTCCCAGCCCTTTATTACACTTTTTAAAAGAGTAATTAAAATAAAATGTTTTGATGGATGGTCACTGCTAACTTATTCATATAGTTCTAGAAAGAGGGTGTAGTTGGGTGTTTAAAAATGGCTAAAAAAGGCAGGGATAACAAAGGGAATAACTAGCTTTATACAAATACTAGGAATTACTGGGTCCAGTGTGATTATTTGGTTACATTAAAAGTAACAAATGAAATTTCTGTATTTTTTTTAACTGTTGGTTATAATGGCTCAATGGACTGTCACCTTTTTGTCAAGTGTCAGCAGTCTCTTTGGTAGAGCTAGGTAATAAGGTTATTAATCAAATATTCATAATGTCAGTGTTATTAACAAGAATTCTTTTTACAAAAGTTTACAAACACTTTTTCCTGACCCACCTCCATTAAAAAGATGTTTCTTGATGACAAAACAATATCTTGGGAGCAAAAGGACAGGTGACAAGTATGACTAGGAGGTGTCCTTTGTCCTGTCTCTGTAGGTAAATATGACTGGATATACTAGGACCAACAGTATTCAGAAGTGTGGGTGGAGAACTAAAGGTCAGGCCCAATGTGGAAGAGCCAGGTTTTGCTCTTTCTTAGCTCATTGTGTCCTAGAGGATATGGGATGTTGGGAGGTTAGCTTAAAGATGATTGGATTCCATTTCTTCCTCAAACAATATCTTCTCTAGGTTTCAGAAATAATTTTCTCTTCCCTTTCTCTTGCCAACCTCCATCTCCATTTCTGCCCATATCGTCAGCTGTAGACAGTGAGCTCCTCTTCCGTAATTCTGATGGGGAGTTGGAAAAGATCCAGAAGTAAATAACAGCCAAGTCTTTTCTGATGAGTCTCACACCCATCAGAAATGGATACCTGAACTGCCAGCAAATCAGTGTCCCCCTTTGGCTGGGGATAAGAAGATGCAGAATATGTATCACGTCCTGTAGGTGAAGGAGACCAAGGGGCATGCTCTGGAATACTGTCTATTAGATAGGAACCTTCCAAGCTGACCATCTGTGAAGTCTAAATGTTTAGTAATCAAGATAAAATGGGCATATACTACCCAGGACAACTGTATCTTAATAAAGCTGTAAATTATTGTTTAAGGTCTGCTTCAGTATGTTATCTTCCATTCACTGAGGAAACAAGTAAGGGACCTACCTTGTCTTCTTGATTACGGAAATAATACAGAATTTTTCCAACTAAGGTACACCAAACTCTTTTGGAATATCCATGTTTCACCTGAAATTACAGAACATTAGGAACAAGCACAGCCAGAGAAATACAGACTACATTTCACCATATCTGAACTTTGGTGATGTTGGGAATAAATGTCTTCGTTAAATTCCTTTCCACATTACTAGACAAAAAATTAAAACTGCATAACTCTATTAAGGGCATAAGAATTAAAGCATTAGATGCTTGTCTAAAGTCTAGTAAAGCCAGTGTGAGTTTTTCATTTGGCTTTGGATCAGGCCTAAATTAGTGGAAGCAAAGGAAACTGAAGAATTAAAAGAGAAAAATTCCTTTTATACAGTATTCTTACTATCTTGAGATAATCTGTCCCAGTGAGTAATATAGAAAAAGAGAGCACTCCACTAAGATAAGGTAGGTCAATTAGCTACTGAAACATATGCTGAACTGGGATACCACTGAAGTGCAAATAGAGGGCTCAACACAGGAACTAGTTAATTAAAAAGACAAAAAGAAAAACCAAATCAAATCAAACAAACAGAAGAAAAATACTGCCCAAAGTAGGTGAGTTGGTAGTCCTTCTGGATTGTTCACATTGTAAAGTACTGGGAAAGCAAATACCTGTCTGTTTTACTGGACACAGTACTGCAGTACTCTGCACGAGACCAGAGTAGAGGGGGAAAACCACCGCTCTTGACCTGTTGGTCACGCTACTTTTGGTGCAGCCCAGGACATGGTTGGCTTTCAGGGCTGCAAGCACACACTGCTGGCTCATGTTCAGCTTCTCATCTACCAGCACCCCCAAGTCCTTCTCTGGGCTGCTTTCAATCCATTCTCCACCCAGCCTGTATTTGTGCTTGGGATTGCCCCAACCCATGTGCAGGACCTTGCACTTGGCCTTGCTGAACTTCATGAGGTTTGCATGGGCTTGCCTCTCAAGCCTTTCAAGGCCCCTCTGGATGGCATCTGTTCCAGAGGGACCTTTACAGGTCCATTTTCATTTAGAGCCATTTTCATCTAGATATTATTCTTAAAAAATATGGCATAAAGCAGATTGGGGGAAGAAGAGTGTTCCTACCTTTGTAAGTAATCCTTTCATAGTTGGCTTGATTTCAGGCTGTATGAAAAGTGGGCTGGCAGCCTGAATTTTAAGAACATTCTGTAGTACTTTGATCCATTCTTCTAAGATGTTGGGAGAATCTGCAGTCAGGTAGTATGTTCGTTTTTCTGTGGTCAGCTATGTAGTAACAGAAGAATTTTGAGCTTTATGAACATATATTCGACTCCACAGTGTGGGGGTTGTAACTTATACTACCCAATGTAGTTTCACAACTTTGGGGGGAGTTTATTATCCCCAAAGTCCTTCCCATTAACAAAACATACTGTGGGCAGGCAGAGCAGACAGGCCCTTTCTAAGGCTTTATCTGAAAAGTTCCAGGACAGCAGAGCTGAGAAAACTCAAGTTATCTTCTTTCAGACAAACAACTCTCAACCCTAATGGGTGGCCCCAAGACTACTCTCTTTCTCATATATGACGATCTGACCTTTGTAGCAATACAAACAAGACTACTTGCAGGCCCTTCTATAGTTCATGTAACTGAAATGATTCTTTGGTTTCAAACAGGGACTGGAACAAGGGGTCAGTTTGCTGATGGAGGGAATAAATACCCACTGAACCACAGAGGAGAAAAGCAGGCACCTGAATTGTTTGTTTTCCATCACCCCTTTCAATGTGGCTGGATGCATTTAGCTCAATTTGACCTTGAGGTTTTCGAATGACGTCACTCTGTATAGAAAGAATGGAAAAAGAATATTTTAAATCTACTGACAAATAGCAAAAAATAATTATAGAACTCATTTAAACATTAATCTTGATAAATACTTCCTAGTTAGACATGGAGTACCTTGTGCACCTCTTGAGGAACTGAGTCATGAATCACTCTCTAACAGCTCAGACACCAGGAATGCATTTATTTTCCTTCTAGCAGCCCTAGACTCACTGTAAAACCAATCTAATATTAAATAGGAGATAAGTTAAAGTTACATGTACTTACTGGAGATTTGTAGTATAGTAATTCACCTCCTTTAAGCACGAACCACCGCCGTTTCCAGGTCTTTACTTTACCACCCATTTTTAACAGATATCCAGATTTTTCCAAAGGTTCCTGATTATTCAGAAGTTAAACAAAAAGTAGTTAGGTACACATGGATACCTATACCCCTCAGAGATATGTATAATACACATACACATAGACATTTTAATGATGTAAAAGCATGCTAAATAATAATTACAGTATTTGATGAGACTTTTAATCCAAGGACAAAGTTTTTACAAGCATCGATTAAGACAAATGCCATGCATGTGGGATAACTAATTAATATCCCTACTTACAGTTATAGTACATGAAGGAGAGTAAGGGATTTGCCCAGAACTATACAAAAGAATGAAGAATATAATGATTCCTGTTTTTACTTTCTAATTATTTCTATTAAACAGGGAACAAAATGAATACAATGTAAATACATTTTTTCCCAACTTCAGTGCCTAACTTACAGACCAGACATAGAGCACTGTAATTCAGAGCTCTGCACAGACATAGTTTTAGTGTGTACACCTGTAGAACAGAGTTCACAGTTTTACTCTGTGAAGAAAGCTTAAAATAAATTATCTTCATCACCAGGCAGTCAATCCACTTTTATGTCAAGACACTAACTACTAACACAGGCCATTAAAAACCAGACAAGTACCCAGTAATGGTTTGGTTTCTTTGACCTGTCCTCGCGTGTCACTCTACTTATGATTTCTCTAATGCCTGAAGTTGTGTTCCCTGAATGATGAAGCTATAAAAACATATTACTGCACATACATTTCTACTGATGCCTCCAGCTCCTTCAGTAGAATGTACTTCTATTTCCCTGAATATTCAAATAAGCTGATTTTAGTGTTTCATATGCAATCTGATACTAGATCTGGTTCCAAGAAAGAAAATCTTAAGTGCTTTGAATTGTCTTCTGGAGCTGTCTGCCTATTTCCATTCATTATATAGAAGGCTCAGAATTATCCTCCACTTTCCTTCTATCATTATAGTCTTATATGGTTAACTTACTGTTGGTGTATTTTGCCATTTGTACTCATAAGGCAGTCTGTGAGTCAGCAAGACTAAATACAGAGATTTGGTAGCAGTCTTTGAGCGTAAATTAACACACAGCACCCCAGGTACACTTCTTCTTCACAGAAGTTGAGTACTCACATTTTTTCCATTATCACTAGATGAGGAAGAGGTCTTAGGAAGTTTCTGCTCTGGCTCTGAATAGTCTGTATCTACTGAATATGCATCTGGAGGAATAGCATAGTCACTTTCTGAGGTCACAGAAGACAGAGACACCCCTGAGTTAAAAGAAGTGAGATGTTTCTTTATATTTTTTCATTACATTAGAAATAAATGAGATCAGAATATCCATGCAGAAAGAATATCTGAGTAGGATCTGCAGGCAAACACAAGTATCAACATAAATGCATCAGGAACCAAGCATTTATTTAAATATCAGCATATCAAACTATTAGCATGGTGCTAATACCCAAATCCCATTTTCTTCGTAATTAAACAGAGTTTAAATCACTTGTGAATGAAACAACAAATAAACGTGTTCTATATCACCTTCTGTTATATTACAATACCTTTTTTAAGGAGAGAGTTAGTGCCATGCATCATACTCATTCTCTAGAAAATGAATACAGGATCTTTAAACTAAGCAACTTTCCCCTTCCCCTTTCTATCATTCACTCTGGTATCTGGATTTCTCATGCAAGTGCTTGTGTACTAAGAAGCTGTGCTGAAGATCTGCCATATGTTGAAGTTGTAGGTGACTTAATTTTGCAATTAGTGTGAATTTTTATACTGAGGTTTTCTGAAAATCTGAATTCCAAATTTCAGATTTTTTTTAAAGTTTATTAGCTTTAATCCTGAAAAAAATGCACCCTGTTTTCAATTCTAGTGAACAGCAATAAAAATTCAAACTCCTCCCTTATTCATCATAGAAATGATTATTTTCAAATGTGTGAGCATGTCCTTCTGTAAAGTTTTACTTTCTGACTACTGTTCTACTCTGAAAGGTTACTCTCCAAGATTGAAATGAATATGCGTTGTTTCCTTTGTCTCATTAATTTCCAAACTAATTTGCCAATTTTATTTAAAAAAACAAAAACAAAAACAAAAAAACAAACAAAACCTTTAGTCCCCATCCGGGCTTTCAGAGTGAGTTCATCTCTTCTCTTCTCATGTAGGATCTTTAACAAAAAATACGCAGCAAGCTAATTATGTGCTTTGTGGAATTTGTGACTGCCTAGATTTTTAAACAATGTGATCTCAACAAAGATACGTACATATGTGTTTTGTGGTTAAGAATGGTTTCCATGCATGAAACAATGCAAGGAGTATTTTCTGAGAAGAAAGCATGAACAAGGAGCATGGTTCCATTTTACAGACACGGATATAAATTGTGGGTGAAACCAGCTATTAAATTAGCTAATTTACTTTTCCTGTTGTGCAAGCATGTAAGATGAGACGTGTCTGCATCCACAGCACTGGCTTTTGCTCAGCAAGATGGAGCTGCTGGGAAGTGGGAACTACGAGTCCTTTTCACACTGATGTAGCAAAACTCTAACTACATCACTGGAAACAGGACTTGAGGCTCTGCGTGGCGGGCACTGAAAAACTCCTAGGGGACCAGTGCCTGTGTCTGCCTGCTCAAGCGTGACTGAGTGGAGCTCCAGCTAACTGGGATCTTAACATGTTAATAGGAACAACTGAATAATGTTATGTTGCATTTCTAAAGCAATGTATAATGAAGGATCTTAACACTTGGCTTCACTAGGATCTTAGATCTTGGTCTCCCTTGTCTCCCCATGTAGAAATTAAAGCAGTTCTTTACTGCACGAGATGACACAAATACTCTGTTGAGGGAACTTTTCCACCTGCTTTCTGATTGCTTTAAACTGTTACTTTATTTTAAAAGCTTGAATATATTCAGGGTTTTTTTCTGATGGCAATTACTTTTTCCTAGGCCATTTTTACCTATGTACAGTAAAAGGTCATAGGAAGTCCTTGGCATGACAGAGCATCGATGAAATGGAGCTTCTTGCTTTAAATGTACAAGTCACTTTTCCCTCATGACAACAGCCAGCTACTAGATTAATGCCTTACCAAGCCATCTATAATACCAGAAATGAAAAGCCATGTGTAACAGTCCTTTCTCCTGCTTGAATAAGAGATCTAGGCTTTGATAGCTGAGGTAAAATTTAACGTGTCCTGAGATTTAAGATGGCCATGCTGTTTAAGGAAGAAGTCAATTTCTAAGAATATCATGTAAACTGCCTAGTTTTCCAAACTTCCAGAAGTTACTAATTCTTACAGTTTGGCCTACCTCGTTTCATAGCCCGAGGACTACCCAGACCACTTTTGCTTCGAGAATCAGACTCAGAAGTCCTTGAGCTGGACCGAGAGCTGTCTTCTTCCTCAGATCCTGACGACTCATCTAGAAATGGGCTGTTGCTTATTTGAGTTGCTTTCTGCAGAAATTAACAAAACATTCTTTGATACCTTGCATAAAGGGTATCAGTCATTTCCTTCATACCGTAGCAGAACTCTGCTGGCTTCTTAACATTCAAAGCTGTTCTTACTTGGGTTGTGAGTTTTGGTACACAAATATCAACATAAAACTGAATTTCCTCTGCACACTGTATCCTCAACCACCCCCACACTTCAGAACAGAAACCTGAGGTAGCTCAAGGCATGGGTCTTTCCAAATCACAAAAGGCTGCCAGAAAACAAACAATGCTGTGATTAGTTACTGCTGGCTATTTGACTAAAACCAGCTTTGGCAATGAAACAAAGACATTTCTACACATACACACACTTTTAATTATGGCACTGAACACCATGTGGCTCTATTTAATAATTAACAAGTCTTTGCAAAAAATCAGCAGGACCTAAGAAGAACTGATCTGGGCTGGTAACATTTTATAAGCATTTTATAACCCCTATTACCTCTGGGGTTCTATGATCTCTAAACGTCATCTTATGACGTATTTGGCATGGTAGCATCAAGTGTGAAAGAGCAAGTTCCCAATGGTATTTAAAAATTTCCTTTAATAGTAATACAGTTACCCCTTTCAAAGTGGTGTAGACAGGAGTGGTCATGTTCTTATATATCAGAGATGTATATAAGCCAGATGTGGAGTACGAAGTTAGTGAAACAGCACCTAAAAAAGCAACATATTGTATAAATAGCCTTCCTAATTTACTCCTCAATTAACCAAATTCAAATGTAATTTTTTGCTTTGTTTAACTGCTCTAAAAAGCAAACTAACTCTTGAACTGTTTTGGATGTGAGATTTATAGCTTTTTAAAATTTCAGTGGTTTTAAGGAGTATAAATAAATTGTAATCACGACCACTAGCCCTTTTTAAATCGGAAGTATAATCTCTTACCTTGGTACCTGGTAAAGAATCTTCAAAATGAATTGCAAAGGAAACGAGTGAACAAAGTACAAATTCAGCACAAAGTCAAGAGGCAAGGTAATAGAAGTCAATGGAAAGACTACCAATAATCTTCTAGGTTTTAAATAGGAGATAATGGAATATTCATAAAAATATCTTAAAGGAATATGGGACATTTGGTCCCTGCTTACAAATCACTGTAAGAATTTTTATTGATGAGAGACATCTAAACCACTTACTTTTGTTAAGAGATTCCATGGTGAAGGCTTCAGACATCCTTAAACCAGATTTGGCTACGGCATAAATTCTGCTTTCCTATACAAGCAGAATGGATTGATGGTAAAAAATTAAAACACAACAATTACTTTCCTTCTCTTTAGCCTCCCCATAGCCTCCTAGTCTTTGCGTTCGTGCAGCAATGTGATAAAATGGTTGATAAAATGGCATCATCAGTAGCAGCTCAAAAATGCATCTTGCTTTATATGCCATACCCCTCATATCTATAGTCTGCTTCAACCTTTTTTTCACACAATGCCTGCCCTGTAGGTAACTTTTAAAAATACTATCAGCAGGGACCAAAGAAGCTATAGTGAGAATATTTTTTAATGGAAGATTCTATGTCAAGAACAGAGAAATGCCATTAGGAGGCAACTTTTCAGCCATTTTGTGTTAAAAGGACACAATAAGAAAATCTATAATGAAAAAAGATGCACTAAAATATATAAGTAGAGAAGCTGTTTCATTAATGCATTATTCATCTCTGAATCATTAATAAATCTCTGACTGTGGAACTGCAGAATCAGTGAGTCTTGACACAGTTAATTTTGGATTTTGCGTAAGACATACTAATATCTATTTTAATTCCCTGATTGAGGGCTTCAAAATTTTACTTGGAAGTGTGATCAATAACTTCTGTAATCTGTAGTTGTCTTCTGTCAACTTAAATTGTCTAGAGCGTGAGTGGTACAATGGTTATAGCAAAGGCATTGACGCCAGCACTGTTAGGCTCTCTTAGTGTTAAGATAAATAAATAAATGCAGTCCCAAGCATTGCCTCCTTTGATATACTCAAAAGGACATATATAACTTAGATGTGACATGAAAAAAATTTGGTTTTATCTACAAAAATAGTGACTATGTTTTTCAATGGCAGAAATACCGTGCTTCAAATCAAACTTGCTTCGAGTTAGTTCTCGAATTAATCTCGAATCCTTTTAGTTCCAATTAAGGTAATGCCCTGTCTTGTCATCAAACAGAATAATAAAGGTAGAGGCAATAAAAATCATAGAAGAGAGGCATGAAAATGAGTTAATTTCACCAGCAGGAAAAATATAATTACACTTACCCAGGAAGGAAATCGATGTAATGGAGGGGTTGGAGGTTTGTTACTAGCACCCTTTTTTGTCGTATCACAAGGTTCCTGGGCTTCAGCATTTTGTGCTTCAGTGCAGTCATATGTAAACACTCCTTCATCACAGCCAATCTCCATTTTCTCTAAAATATCAGTATCTTCTCCATCCACCAGATCAATGTCTGTTTCCTGAGGTCTCCATGGACGTATCATGCTTATGGCATTTCTATTTCTACCAAACATTCTGTCAGAACTCAGCTGGGGCTGGCTCAGGTGTTTCTTTGCTAATGCTGAATTTATACTAAACACATTAGGAGTCCGTGACTTTGGAGGCAGCAAATTTGAAGGAGAATCTGATGGCACTATGCATTGAGAACCTGGGTGTTTGGGTGTCAGAGCAGGGGTTAAAATTGGACTTGGGGTATTTGCCTCACTGGATGAGGATGAATAATCTAGCCTCTGAGACTGAAATTTCTTATTCAGTTCATCTGAAGAACTATCTTGGTCTTTCTTTTTACTTGTGAAGTCAGAGTTGCACTTTCCACCTGCATTGTTCTGGCCTTTTCTTTGGGACCCTTGCTGCCAGGAGTATAACTTCGTATGCTGAGTCCTCTGAACACCAAAACTCTCTTCTTCAAAAAGAGAACTACTGTCATCAGATGCTGTCAAATACATTTCACTGCCCACTCTACTGTACCTTGCATTCTCTTCAGATGTGTGGCTTGAGAGCGTGGATGCACACCTAGATTTCAGTCCTTTATCATCTCCTCCATCCTCGTCTGAGCTCCAGTCGCTCCCAGTAGTGCAGGAGTTCTTTGACATGTCGCTGTCTATGTCTTTGGATGAACAGCTTGTTCTCACATTTTTGTTCTGCTCTAAGCCAGAGGAACTTTGTTGCAATGACTTCTGACCTTTATTGGCCTCATGTGCAGGACCAGCAAAGGTAGTTTCCAGGATATCCTTCTCTAGAGGAGAAATACAATGAACATGAGAAAATTACTTTGGCAAACTTGACTGCTAAAGGATTTTGTCATAATGTCTGCAAATAGTAAGTAGGTAATAATTTCAAATGTGTAAGCATGTTTAAATTTTTCAATATTGTAAACAATAAACCTTAAGAAAAATATTATAAATTTTTGAATGCAACTGAAGTTGCAGTGATGTTTGCCAAAAAACTGTAACAGATATTACTCAAAGTTCTAGCCAAACTAAAAATGGCAATAAATGTGAAGATGAGCAGAGTGGAGACATATTTTAAAGCAAGACCACATATGTATGAAAGCAAACAAACAAAAACCCAAAAAACCCCCAGGCTTAAGAGGGCATATAAATTTAGCTGCTTTATTAAATCTAAGGAAAATTAAAGTTTAGTAAAAGATTTGTCAGAAAAGATTTACATTAACAAATCAAGTATTTGGAGCATTTCTACAGTGTTTATACACAGAAATTTCTTCTGCAAGTACTCCCAGTGGTGAATGCTTAAGATACACATGAGAGGCTCATGAAAAATGCTAAGGGAAAGACGCTGTGTTAAAAATAGCTTTGCTTCTGCTGTTCACTTTTACCTGGTTTTGCAAGAGAGAGCTATAGCTTGCAGCAGCATGTCACTGGGGCCTATGTGCTCCCCCGAGTTAAAACAGACGCAAGAACTAAGGCTTTTCTACACAGACACTTGAGAAAGTTAATGTTAAATAGATGTATGAAATTAAAGTGGATTGGATAAGCCAGAGATGTTAATTTAGTCCACATTAAAGTAATGGAGTCACAAAAGTTGATGTTTCCATCTAGGCAAGCCTAAGGTTTATTTCTTATCCTTTCCCTTTAAAAAAAGATTCTTACTTCAATTCCCTCATCTATTAAATTGGAATAATAATACATACACACCTTTATAATGAACTTGGTGTCATACAAATATGCAAGATATTAATAGAATCTATTTCAGTTTCTGATTTTCTACAGACCTGGACTTTTGGGTACCATGATTAACTGTGGAGAAAATGCTGAGGTCATAAATAGTACTGTGGGACTCCAACAAAGGACCAGAGCAAGTGTCTTCTTCCTGAGCTTTTCATTGCTTAAGGGAAGTAGCAAAATGCAATGGACCTGCTTACCCTTATAACAGCATAACTACATGCCAATTTGATGGCATTACCAGACTCCAGGGCTTGTTGGGGAAATTGTATGAACTGATCAGAGAGCTTTCTCCTTCTTTGGATTGGAAACAATGGTGCAAAAAGATGCCTATTTTTTCTGACCTTGATCATACTAATGAAAGATTACCGAGTTGATCTTGTTGAGTTAGGGCATAAAACTAACACTGGGACTCCAGTGATAGTATAGACAAAATATACAGAAACTGGACTTAGGCGAGCCTCTCTACACAGACACAAAACCATAACAGCCCTTCCTGGGGCACCGGCAGCCTTAAACTCCTTACGCTACTGTGGAGCAACCCTGGGCCACAACAAATTCTTTCCTTTGCAGCCAAAGCACCCGTCAGCCACTGCATGCTGCCAATGTATTAGTGGTATTGTGGAGACTCTAGTGCTCAACAGGATTTCTTCCTAGTAATAGAGACTAGCATTAAAGAGGGAGAGAGTACTGCTATGTACTTTGAAAACAGCTGGTTTGGATACATTGACATAGTTGTCAATTTTACTTTTCCACCTGTGTCAGGTTAAAATGGCAATATTGGTGACTAAGTACCTAGAATGTTTTTGCCTTCAGCGTAGTCTGACTCTTTAGATGAAGACTTGCTTATTTCTTCAAACTTAGGAGACGGTTGAGGACTTCTTGCTCTATTTGAAAAGCATCCAAAAGTCAAACTGCTTAGGCGCTGACACTCTCCAGGTTTTTGTGTTGAAGTAACAGATTTCTTGCCTGTGGCTTCTGAAGAATAGTAATTCAGAAATCTTGTGTTAATGGGATACCGAGAGATAGGCTACTGCTCTCTTTACTCTGCAGTGTAAAGTTTTTTTTTTTTTTAAGATAACTAAAATTTAGTAAAAAGATAATAAACATTTTATTATAGAAATAAAAATCTACCTGATACCTCCCCATATCAAAAGAAACCCAGAGATACATTTCTAGTTCTTAAAGATGGATTTTTTAAGTATAGAAAGAAAAAAAAATCTCTTTTTAACAATTTCACAGCAGTAAGATATCAAACATGCACTTAACACAGAATGAAAACCTAGTGGAAATACCAGATTTTAATCTGCTGTGAATGAAATTAAACCTATGGACTGGTGTAGGATATATAATATGGGAAAGACTGTAGAACAATAGTATTAAAATACATGGTGGCCTTCCCTTTAGATAAAAATATTAAGAGAATCTATAATAGGTGCTACAGGAAATATGAAAGAGGAAGTTACCAGGTTTAGAAAGGTATATATGGAGGACTTCAAGAGAAGGTGAAAGCATAAAATGATTAACTGCCTCGAGAATAATCTATCCTTAGGGACAGCTATTCTGCCAGAAACTGATATGAAACAATGCTGTCTGTCCCTGTTTATAAACAGTTCTGTAGCAGATCCAGGAACAGAAGGCCCTTATCCAAACCTGTAGACTGTGTAAAACAGTACCACATGATCATAATTTATAGCCTGTTACCAGCCTGGACACAGCAAATAGTAAAAAATTTCTTAATATTTTTGAGCGTATCAGTAAATGTGCATTGAAAATCAGTTGTCAAATTCTTAGTTTCTCAAAAGGCCTTTGAATAGATCTCTCAGAAGAGGATGAGTAAGGCTGTTAAATGCTGAAGTATATAGAATTGCTACTGATCAAAAAATAGCAAAGGAACAAAACAATCCAGCTTCCTCATTAATAGAGGTGTTTTTTAGCTTAAAAACCTCATATTGCGTATGTATGTATTTTGTAAATATTTGTATTTTCATATATTATGCATGTGTACACACAATCACAGACTCTGGTTATCGTGG